TTTCATTAGGTAAACTGTTCCAGTGTTCAAACACACGATTAGTAACAAATGTTTCCCTTGTCTTCGTACAGAAACGTTCTTTAGATAACTTGAACCTGTGTCCACGAAGCCGATTGTCAAGATTAAAGTCAAGTAAAGTTGTTAAGTCAATTCCGAACTGATTGTGGATTATTCGCCAAATTATAATAAGATCTCCTCGCAGCCTTCTCTCTTCAAATGACGTTAACCCCATTACGCGCATCCTTTCTTCATACGAAGGTCTGTTGAATCCGTATGGGAGCCTTGTGGATTTTCGTTGTATGGATTCCAATAAGTTTTTATCACGCTGAAGAATCGGAAACCAGACAGGCCCTGCATATTCTATTATTGGTCGTATATATGTTTTATAGATTTGGCATGCAGTTTGTGGGTTAGGTTTAGTGAAAATTTTGTGTATCATACTTATTAGTGCGTTTGCTTTTCTGCAGGAGGATTCAATGTGTTTAGACCATGTTAAATCGCTGCTTATCCATACTCCTAAATCAAGGTGAGATTCCACTGTTTTTAAAGCATTGTGGTTTATGTGGTAAGTCAGCTTTGGATTTGATTTCCCTATATGCATAATAACACACTTGTCGATATTAAGTGGTAGTTGCCAGTTGTTGCACCAGTGCTCAATTTGTATTAAGTCATTTTGTAGGATATCCTGGCTGGTAGTTGGGTTTCCATACAACTTTGCGTCATCAGCGAAAAAAGAACATTTTGATTTTAACATGGGTGATAGGTCCGCCGTGTACAGGAGAAAAAGTATCGGGCCCAAAACTGACCCTTGGGGTACACCACTAATCAGGGCCGAGCCTAGGGTATCTGCCGCCCGGGTGCAAGAATTAAATTTGCCGCCCCCATTAATGTAAAAAATTAGGTTGTCGGTAGGAAAGGAGTTCATAATTTATCATTCTCAATAAACATATAACAAATTTTATAGTAAAATAACAAATTATTTATTAACAAATACATAAAAGAATAAAATAAAAATACATTCAGGAAAAAAAACAAAAATAATTAAACTAAACTAAAAAACTAAAATCTACTTTTCTCGCTTTTTTAATAGCAAATTCCCTAATCAAGTCGCCTACATCCAAGTTGTTAGAAATATCTTCTTCAATACTTATAATTGCTAAATTTGAAACCCTGAATTGACTCATATTGGATCTTAAATCGGTCTTAATTAGTTTTAATTTCGAAAATTACCGCTCTCCATGGGCAACAGTAACTGGCATCGTCAAAAATATTCTTAAAGCTACAAATAAATTCGGAAAGATGCCTTTTAAATCATTAACTAGTTTTTAACTTAAACGCATTAAAAGACAAAAGAAACTACTATGTTTGCATCCTATTTGCCTCACGTTAATAGAAAAACTAAAAATTGCTGAAATACGCAGCCGTCAAATCGGAAGAAATTATGCTTTAACTTAACAGTTTAGCTTGTAAACAATATCACGTGGTACACAGCGCGCGATTTAATTGGTTTCCTGTAAGCCCGCTTCCGTATAACATGAAACTTGACGAACTCGAAGCGGACGGACGGAAAGCGAAGCGGGCGGGCGGCAATCTATAAACCGGGCTTTAAGAAAATTGTCATCATCATTTTTTGTGGCTATCGCGCGTTCGCCCAAGCAGCATTTTTGGTTCCAAAAACCATTGCCAAAGTGGTGATAACTTTAAATTAGTTAAGTATACTAAACAGCTACTTTAATTTTTACTTAAAAGTAATTCTAACTTTTAAATAGCAATATTTTGTAACAGAAACTTAATTTTTCCTTAAATTGTTACTATAAAGTAATAAACATTTAAGTAAAACTTGGTTGCCCCCAAGAAGACTTTGCAACTTTAAAAAAGATGTTATAAGTAAAAAAAACTTTCAAGTAAATTTAATTTGTAGCAGTTACTTTCGGTTGCTACCTAAAGATTACATTATAATTATTTTTACTTTGTAGTCCCTTTGCAAGTTAAAATCTCGAAACTGGAACATGAGTTAAAAACTACAAAGTTAATAACTTAAAAGTTATTATTTTAGTATTTGGAACGTTTATGGTACTAACCAAAACAACCGTAAAGTGGAAAAAAACTTTAAAGTAGCGAAAACTACTTCAAAGGAAAATGCTTCTTATCGGCCATTTTTTACTGTACAGTACCACGTGGTAATGTAAATAATAAATTATTTTAATTGTTTGTAAATGGTTGTTTACTTTTTAATAAATAGAAATATTGTTGGTAATAGACGGTATTAATAATTAAATAAAAAAAATAATAATAAATATTAAGATTTTTTTATTTATAAACATTACTAAATAAATAATTTGTTTATACTTAAATATTGATGAAGCGCATTTATTTTACAAAAACTAAATTCATAAGTTCAACAGTAAAATTTAAAGGGTTTATAAATCTACCTGCATGTCTAATTAAATTTTATATTGTTATTCTGGAAGTTATAAACTATAGTTTACCAGTACATATTTAATAAACGACGACATTGAAAAGCCAAGTCCGTAGTGGTTCCATTTAAAAAAGGAGGGATAGTATAATCTAATATAAGTTTGACAAAGACAGTTAATATAGAAGTAAAAACAAATAATAAAAGTAATTATAACGCTCTAGCAACGATATTGGAACGTTCTAGTAACGTAGCAGCTACGTCCCAAATAGTAGCAGGGTTGGTAGCTAGTGACATATTTGCTACCTTTTTGGAACTCAATAATTGTTCCCCACTTTAGTCGTAACGTAGTAATGAAAGAGTAATATAAAGAGACCGGCGACTGTCGCAAAACACTTTGAAGTTTCTTCAATAGTCCCATATACGTAACAAATACTTAAATTGTTGCTTGGGCGGTTATGTCTTTTTTATCATTGCCGCCTTACAGCACAATTTTGGCATTGTTTTTATGTGTAGAATAAAAACGATGATTCCTTGAAACGGCGACATAAATAAAACGTGATTTTTAGAAAGTTTTTTGCATATTGCAAAGTGGCTTTTTTATTCTTGATAATATGATACAATTTTTTTGATGATATTTTGCCGCCCTGTGTTAGTGCCGCCCGGGTGCCATGCACCCCTTGCACCCCCGGCACGGCTCGGCCCTGCCACTAATAACAGGAAGGAAATCAGACACCTCTTCACCAATTTTAACACAAAATCTGCAGATGCATGCTGTTTCTTAGAAAGCTGCAAATCCAAGCATGTAGTTTTCCTGTAATACCCATGTTGATCAGAGAATTGTTTAAGGAAGTTTGAGTTTAAATTATCTGGTCCGGGGGATTTGTTGTTCTTTAATAGCCCAAGATGTTTTTTTACATTTTCAATGCTAAAGTCTATAGTAGCCAGAGACGAGTTATTTTTCGATGTTGATATTTTCGGCATATGTGTGTTTAATTCTGCAGTGTAGGAGGAAAAGAAAAAATTTGCCAGGGTATTTGCTACCTCCAGATTATTTGAACAGATGTTTCCATCTTCTTTTCTAATTAAAGGAATTGTTACTTTGGAATTTAGACCATTTCGAATATACTTATAAAATTTTTTTGGATTTCCAGATGAAATAAGTGTCCGCTCGTATAGTGTCCTGGCCATTTTGATTTTTAGAGATAAATTGTTTGAAAAGATTATGTCTACATCTGGAAAAATTTTCGAAGAAAAAAGAACTGGACCACCATGTAATAAAAAAAAATAAATGATATAATTTTTTTTTAATATAATGAAGTAGATCAAGGGAGAAGATCTAGAGTTTTACCACCATGTAACATCCTGGCCAAACTAACTAATACGGATGATGATGCCGGTAAACAAAATTGATTATTTAATATTTTTGTTCAATAAAAATGTTTATTTTGTTCAATAAATTCCTTTTTGATCAATAAAAATGCTTTTTGTTAAAAAAAATGCTTTTTAATAAAAAATGCTTTTTGCTAAAAAAAATGCTCTTTATCTATAAAAATGCTTTACCACATCGTGATGTTTTATTTTTTTCAATTCTAAAACAAAATTCTTAAGATTATTATAAGAATTCTGTGTCAAAATGTTATTGAGATTAAGAACAGTACAAGTCCAAGTTTATTTTTTGTGCATAATAAAGCATGCACGTGGTAAAATAAAATATTTTTAGTTTAATGGACGTCTAAACTCATACACCACATGTGCTGCAGCTTGTCTGTACTTTTAAACCTGAAAATATCCTAATAAACAAAATAAACAGTTTATTTTGTTTTCTCAAAATTCAAACATTTGGACATGTACTGTTCTTATTCTCACCGATTCAAATATGAATTTTCCAGTTTTTCAATTACAAGATTAGAAGAAAAAGATAAAGGTAAGTTACCTTAGGTAATCAACGGATCAAGAATAAAAGTATAGAAAAAGAGAATGAAGAGCCTAAAAATCTGATTTGAAAAAAAATAAGATACCTATCAAGTAATTTAATTACATGCCAAAAAAATTTACAAAAAAAATATTTTTTTATTTTATAATTTAAATACATGGTAAAAAAATTGGAACCGAAAAAAACTGTATGGACCGAAAAGATAAGTCCGAACCGGAGAGAAATATTTTTTTTTTGGAACCGTAACTGAACCCGAACCGAAATTTCCGTTATTTCATTTGGGTCCGGGTCCCTTAATTTGATAATATATATTTATTAATAATAATGGTTTTTAAGACTTCATTATATCTCACGCATTAAATTTACAAAATCTAAACGCCCCACTATAGAAATAACAGTGTTATTGCTATGCGCCTCACAATAATCTAAGAATTTGTCTTTTCATACTGCGCGCGCTTCCCTGTTAACACGACTATTGATCGATAGATGGCCGCCTTCACTTTAGAAGATTTTTTATTAACGCCCAGTCCCACGAATAATTTTATTAAATGACTCGTAATATAATGAATTTAAATACTTTTTCACCAATTGCAATTGTTTAAAAGTGTTAATTAAATAAAATAAAAACATAAATTAGGTCGGTGACTTGCGCAGTTCATTAAAAAAAGTGAAGTTTAATTTTGCAATGGTGGCAATATTAAGTCAAAACAACATTTATGGAAGTTTGTTAGACAATGCAATTAATATGGGATTTTCGCACAATCGAACTCTTAAAGATGTTTTAAACGGTTCGTATCCCAAAAACAAGATTACAAAAATGGATGTGTACGACCTTGAGTTGTTTGTGACGAAACTTGTGCAGTGTACAAAGCAAATAGTTTCCAAGACTTTGGGCAAAGAAGTGAACGAAAAACCAAGCTGGTGGCCAACAGCTTTAGAACTTCAGTACATGGAACTTTGCAAAGCACAGAAAAAACGTAAAATTAAGGCCACAATATTGCAAAGGCTAGTGATTAAGTGCAGCAAGTATTTTAAGAAGTATGCTTGTAACTATAATAGTGTAGGTGAAATATTTGTGAACGATGAAAATATATGCATTACCAAAAAAAATAGGAAAGTAAACCAATCTACAAAGAATAAATTAAGAATAAACAAAGGAAAGAATGATATGATAGCTAATCGTTACCCTATTATTAAACTAGAAGACATTTTAAGAAAACCCACTGCAAGAAAACCTGTTACACAAAATAATTTCCTAAACTATTTTGGTTTATTACCATCAAGCACAGAAAAAGAAATTAAGCCAGATCAATACACATTTCCAAGCCATCCTATAAAGATACATAATTCACATCATATACCTTTGTCATCCGATCTAGGACAAATGCTGTTAAAAAGGGAAAACCACCAACTTAATGAGACGGTACTCTCAAGAAGACTTGAGAGGGTGGAATGGTATATAAACAAAGCAGTGCCGAAAGAAGATGCCAAATATGAGCCTTTGCAAAGTATTCCTGCTCTTCCCAAACATTGTCATCAGTATAGATATCCTAAAAGACAGTATCATCAAGTTTATAAAGATAATAATAAAAAGTTACAACTTTGCAAACCCCTTAAAGTGGTATTAAAAAAATGTGACTTTAGCAGTATGAAGAAAAAATGTTTGGTTAAATTAGAACGGATTTCAAATGCTAAGAGAAAGAGTTTGGTAGTTAAATTAGAAAAAATAGAACAGTGTTCATCTATAAAAAAGAAGTTAAGACGCAAGACAAAATAGATTTTTGTAAAATTGTTAAAAAAATGTGTATGTATAATTTATTTTTAATATTGTACCTACATCTTGTTAATTAGTTCTGTTAAAGATTGATAATTTATTATTATTACTAAAATATAGTTTATTAGCCTATTTAGATTTTTAAGTTTACACTCTTTAATTTCATATTTCATTAAGTAATGGGTGGTTAGTATTATCGACCAATTTGTTTTAGTATTTATATAATTTATTTTAAGTTTTGGGCTAAAAACTTGTTATAAAATCCTTGATAAATTACGAGTTAATAACGATTTTTAAGCACCTAAGTTGTAAACAAAGTCAATTTATTAACAAATATAGAGTATTGGCAATAAAAATATAATATACAGGTCCAACCGAAATACTTAGATTGTCTTTGGCTGACACTAACTAGGTATTAAACAATTTTGTACCTGAAAAAAATCTTCACTATTTTTTTATTTAATAAGTACAAAACTGTATTTAATTTTTTTTTAATTGTTCATTTATTGTCTTCCATTGCTTATTTATTATTACTGGACTTAAAAAAATAATGTAATAAAAAAAAAACTAGGCTAATTTATATTATTTTTTGTTTAAATGTACAAAACTACCAATTGGGAAGTTAAAAAAATAGTAGAACATTTTATCCTAGACTTATACATTTTATTTTGATCAATAAAAGAAAAATTATATTACCATAATTATATATATTTTTAGGATTTAAATCTTGTTTGTGTAAATGAAATTGAAACAGACTAATCAGTCAATATAAATTAGTTATTATTTAAGCTATTGACTTACTCTACAGACTGGAATTTTTGTATTTTGTATATTTTCATATAAAAACACATTTTTTGAAAATTGATATTTCCAATAAAGTGTCAATAAATAAAACTTTATTAATGATCTAAAAAAAGTCATAAGCATTAAAAATAATTAAATTGTCTACTACTGATTTTGTATTAATGGCCATATTTGTAAAGAACAACTATTTTATTGATACTTATAACGCACAAATGTATCTTGTATGTAATATTATTTTATTATTTCGTTATTTTATTTATTTTTGTTTCATGAATTAGAAATTTTATGGGATAAAGACTGAATTAAAATTATTTTCATTTATTTAACAATTTTGATAAATATAAATATTTCTGTGATGTAGGCATAAATTATGCCGCATAATGTCATCTATGTAATTTATTCCATTAAAATTAGGATACTGTAAAAATAAACTTTTATAAATACCTGTAAATAAACAGTAAATATTTTTACAAACATACAGGAATTTTATTTAAACACTTGCTCCCTTTTATTAAAAATTAAACAATTTAAAAGACTGTGCAATAAAGGGCATCGTTTTACAAGAATGGCCGTGGGGGGAAATTTCCGGAAAGAGTTACCACATTATAGCCGAGTGTCACTGCCAAAGTACGAATCCGACTCATTTGGCCCATTATAGTAAACAATTTTTTCTCTGTAATGTTCTCGATAGCTGGTCTCACAGCTGCGATAAAAACATTGCAAACTGTACATAACACTTAAAACCACCGTTTCTCAACATCTGTTTATTAAGGACAATTATACAATGCTATAGTTGTCAAAATTGGTTTCAGTTTTTTTTAGAAGTTTTGTTATTAAAGATAAATTATTAAGGGGCATTAAATAAATTAATTTTCGTTGTTCACATTTTATACAGGGTGTGCCGAAAATGGCTTTAACGGTAAGTATAAAAATAGAATTCTTTGCGACTAGTGGGAGAAAGAGGAGATTCCTCGAGCTTGTATCATAACTTTTTTGTTATGATCAAATTTTAACTTTTTATTTTTAAACTTGGTTTCCATCATGTAATACAGGGTGTCCCAAAACTCAGAAACAGGCGATGGTACAGTACCATCGCCTGTTTCTGAGTTTTGGGACACCCTGTATTACATGATGGAAAACAAGTTTAAAAATAAAAAGTTAAAATTTGATCATAATAAAAAAGTTGGTACTTCTTTGGGGTACTTCAAATAATGCATGAAAAAATATTAAACATGTAATTTTGTAATTTTTTATAAACTTTTCAAGATAAAAAATGTACAAGAAAAATAATAATTATAATACCTACCCACTGGGGTAGCTCAGTGCCACTGAGTCAGTGGGCAAGCTTATTTTTCCCTGGGGCATAAACTAAACCGCAAAAAGTTAGAATTAGAGGCGGACCCAAGCTGGGGGAAATGATTTTTGTATTAAAATTTTTAAATATCATTCGATATGATGTATGAAAATTACTAAAAAAATATTTTTTTAAATTTCAAAGAAAAAAATTCTTAGTTCAAACATAAACCACGTTAAAGAGCACAAAATGGACAATTTAAAAAAAAAAATTTGGACTGTATAGCTTTTTTACTTACAGGTAAATTTCTCTTTTACTATTAAAAATGTTGAAAAATCTCGCAATTTTTTTTCTAGATAAATTTATCTACTATAAAGACCGTGAATTGTGAAGTCAATTCACGGTCTTTATAGTACCCTTGCGGCCTTGAGTTTACGGTGAATTCACCGTTTGCGTGAATTCACCGTGAATACACCGTTTATGTGCAGTGAATATACCGTCCGTTTGTGACATTTGTAGACGGTAATTAAACGGTGAACTCACGCTGTTTTTGCGATAAATTCACGGTGATTTCACGGTGAACTCAAGTTTGCAAAATCACCGCAAATTCACTGTTAAAGTACCGTAAATTTATCGTGAAATCACCGTGAATTCACCGTAAAAGCGCTGTGAGTTTACTGTGAAAACATCGTAAATTACTGTACAGTACCACGTGGTAATGTAAATAATAAATTATTTTAATTGTTTGTAAATGGTTGTTTACTTTTTAATAAATAGTTATTTTGTTGCTTTAGCATTATTATAATAGACGGTATTAATAATTAAATAAACAATTAATAATAAATATACCTATTAAGATTTTTTTATTTATAAACATTATTAAATAAATAGTTTGTTTATACTTAAATATTGATGTATCGCATTTATTTTACAAAAACTAAATTCACAAGTTCAACAGTAAAATTTAAAGGGTTTATAAATTTACCTGCCTACTTAAACATATATTGTTATTCTGGAAGTTATAAACTACCAGTACAAATTTAATAAACGACGACATTGAAAAGCCAAGTCCGTAGTGGTTCGATTGGCCTTGAGTTCACGGTTTTTTTCACGGTGAATTCACCGTGAATTCACTGTGAATTCACCGTGGATAAACCGTCTGTGAAAAGTGCGTGAATTCACCGTCTAACAACCGTTTACAAATGTCACAAACAGACGGTTTATTCACGGTGAATAAACCGTGAACTCAAGGCCGCAAGATATACCGCTTCACTAAAAAGTTTTAGGTCTTAGAGTTGCATCCTTTTTTAATGGGTCTACACATATGGTGATTTGTCTACAATCGTGTATTTTCAATCTTAAATAGTTTAGAAGGGAAACATGTTAATATTAAAAAATTCTAAAGATGTTATTTTATTGTGATTATTGGTGGTAACAATTTTATTTATTAATTAGCCAATAAGGAATTCCCAAGGAATACCCACTTACTTATGGCCCATTACAATACAAGAAAGAATGGGCAAGTCTAAAATAGTACACAATATAAAGTATGTTTTGCAAACTTCATATTTTATCTATTATGAGATTTTTGAGTAGGTATTAATAATCTTAATTTAAGATCCACATTACAATAATTTTTATAATAATTAAATTAACTAAACGGTTAACATTTTTTTCGTAAAATATAAAATTTATTTAATATAACATCATTTGATTTTGGCCTAGGTTTTTAGCCAAATCTATCGACGCGTTTTTAAAATAAAATTAAAAGTGGTGAAATTTCTACTTGTGTATATATGTAACTCAGATACAGATACAAAAGTACCCAGTAAGCACAAACATACTCAGGACGTCCTTGGACCAGCCTAAATGTCCCAGAATGAGATGATCCTATAAGGACTTCCGGAGGACGTCCATAGGTTGACCTTATCGGACCTTATCGGTCCCATTTTGGGATATCCTAGGAACGTCATTTAAGGATGTCGTTAGGACCTATATATAATAATATCCTTATTAAAGCCTAAAATGGGCTGGTCATAGGACTAATCCCAGAGACATCCTCAGAATGTCCCGTTAGGTTTTGGTAAACATGTTATTATTTTTAGTTATTTTGTGTGCACATTTTTCTATATGAATATTTTATCCTAATAATTAATATACATTTTTTTACATAACTTATTTTGCATAGGCACATCTTAAAAATGGCAATCAATATAATTATAATTATAATAATATTATATTACATTAATTTTTTCAAGTTTATAAACGACTTGCATATGTACTATACTTTTTCTACGAGGATCACAAAAATTAAATAGATTTCAATAATTATATATAAATAATTATTTATAAAATCTGACATCGGCCAGTCTATTGTAACCTCACTTTTTAGACCCTTTATTTTGATGGTCATTATTTCGCAGTTGACAACTGCGCCCGTGACTAAAAAGTCTGAAAGCCATTGCTGACAACAGTAATATAACACTAGTATACTACATAACCACTATAGTGATTATGTCGTTGAAGATAATCACAGCAGCGATTCAGGACTTGTCTGTGAAGATTCTAAAGAAAATAATTTTATAAGGTCAGATAGTGAAGAATTTGAAAAATTTTAAGAAGTTCAAAAACAACAAAAAAGTTACTATGAAAAAAAGAATTGTAAAAATCAGCTATAGTTTGAAGCAGTAACTGCTTTAAACTATAGCTGATTTTTACAATTCTTTTTTTCGTAGTAACTTTTTTAACTGTTATCTTTGCTGTTGAAAAATGATATATTTGATTTATTTTTTTTATGGGATTTTTTAAGGTATATTATTTAAAATAAAGATCGTTTTATTTTGTTTGGTTTAATATTTTTCACAGTTTAATCACTAAGTTTGCACTACTGCACTTTTTGTACATATGTTTTGATTAAAACCTATTTGTTTAAATTTGTCTTTTATTCAGGTATTATTTTTGGTGATATTCTAACTTTAT